ATCCCATTCAAAAACCCACCATGGCAGGCCGCCCACCCAAACTTGTTCCATTATAAGGACTGTATAGGGTGCATTGACAAAAGTGTTGATTTAAACATTGTTCTCAACATGGTTCAAAAGTGTAGGGGTGCTGAACAAAAGTGTAGGGAACAACATTGTTCATGTATAGCTTGTTTCTGGAACATTGCTACAAGTCTAAACTAAAGGTGTGTCTTTTCATGTGTTTCTCCACTTGGGCAAAAGCATCAACATGTTTGATCCAAACAGACGCCACAACATTGCTGACCAAAGGTGATGTCCAATTGTTACTTAGATTTGGTGGCTACCTAGACAAAAAGCGGTCTATAATTGCTACTTAGATGTCAAGGCGCTACCAAGACCAAATGCTACCTAGTCAGGCTTTTGGTGAAAGGATGGAAACATGACATTACCCATGAAAGGCTTTCAAAAACTGCAAACTGAAGCGCAAAACAACTCTGCAATATGTTGTTTCCAGCCGTCTTTGCATTGATCTTTCAGCAGTGAGACAAGCTAAAGTTGAAACTGGCAGCAGTCCTTGTGGAATGCAGCTTTCAGTTTTCAGTCAAAAGGCAAGCGTCTATCTTTGCAGCTGTTTCTCTCATGGCAGCCCTGGCATTCCTCTTGGCTGTATTTGGTGAACTTCCCATGGCTTTCTGTCTTTTGTGCTGTTGGTGGTATGTGCTGCTTGTCTTCCTGTGCCTCCAAGTGGTCTTGTGCGCCGCCTCTTTCTCACCAGCTTTCACTTCTTTCTCATCAGGGTTCACTTCTTTTTTGCTGTGGTGCTTTGGAGCCTTGGTAGCAGGCTTCCTTTTAGGAGCTGCTTTCCCTTTTGGCTTTGGCTTTGCCAGATATGCCTTTGAGAAGCTCTCTTCAACCACAGCTAAATCTTCATCACCAAGCCCATGCATGTTTCCTTCTGATTTTCTCTTTTTTCTTCACTGGTGTTGTCTGAACTGGCTCTCCTTCTTCCTCTGTGGAGCTGACCAAGCTGCCCACATAGAGGCCACTTGGTTTGATGGAGCCTGCTTTTTTCTATGGAACTTTGGACAACATCTTGCTGTCAACATCTTTCACTGGCATTGATTGCTCCTTGGTTGAAGGGCTGCGGAAGCTCTTGGTCAAAATCCTCTTGAAAACATTGCCAGGAGACAATTCTGGCTTTGCTTCTGCTTTTGCCTTTGAGGAACTGGAAGACTTTGTCGGCTTCCAAATAGCCAAAGTTGTACCATGAGCATCATCTTCAAGCTCTGCAGCAGAATTGTCCAAAGGCCTAGCTTTAAATGCCCTAAGATTAGATCCACAAGTTCTTTGTCTTCCATTGTCGCTTTCCTCATAGCAGTGTCATAGGACTGCCCAGATTTCTTCAATTGCCTGGCCTGGGAAAGTAGGACTCTAACCCTTGCATCAACTTCATTCATAAACTTGTCACTGTCATATCTTTGCAATGCCAATCTCATTTTGGCTGATGGCAAAACACCATTGCCATGCGGTGCAAGGTGCAGTCTTCCAGCTCCATGGTGCATTCATTGGGTGCTTCAGGCAATCAAAAAGGCCTTTCTCTTTTGACCTGTCAGTTTGCCTGAGCAACACTCTCTGCAAGTCCATGACTGAAATTGAGGGGCCCACCCTCAACTTTTTGTATATGCCCTGGCTCTCAGATTGAGATTCTGTATTGCAGACTTGGGTTTGTTTAAACATGTGTTGTGGTTCTTATTTGTGTTGTCCACACAAGCTGTCCAAAAATTTGGACACGCATGCACAAAATGTGTTTGTTTGCATGGTGTTTCCTTTTTGTGTGACCTATTTGGAGGGATAAAGAGCATCAGAAGCAAGTGTTGCAATGCTACTTGCCACTTAGTATCTTTTTTGCTACTTAGCCACACAACATTTAAAACAATTTCAACATAACTTTTAAACAATTTTGGCAAGGATTGTCATGCTTTTAAAACAATTTAACATAATTTTAAAACAATTTTGGCAAGAATTGTCATGGCTTATGGTGCTTTCTCTTGTGACATTGAAGAAACAAAATTTATCTTAGCCAACAAATTCTGACACAGCTGCAGGGTTATCTTATAAAATATCGTTGACAAATAACCCTGGAATTCTAACTAATAGTTAGAAGCATTTCTAGCTAATAGTTAGAAAAAACAGAATAAACTAATAGTCAGAAAATAGTCTTGTCTGGTCTTAGAGGAAGGTGTTCCCAGCTACGACACAAGCGTCCAAGGACGCACCAAAAGAAGAGAGGAGAAGGGTTCCCAGCTACGACGAAAGCATCCAGGGACACCCAAACAAGGAGGGAAAGGAAGGAGGAGAGAGAGAGGGAAAAGAGAAGGAAGAGGACAGGTGTTCCCAGCTACGAACAAGCGTCCAGGGACACACCAGGGAGGGGGGTGAACCTGAGTATTACATTCAGGAACACACCAAAAGGCGAAGGGGGAAGAGAAGGGGTGGATGGAGGAAGGGACTAGGCTCTCGACAGACTCCAAAGAGTCTTGAACAAGCTTCGGCCGCTGCGGCCGCGTACGCCGTGCCAAAATGGCTGGCAGCTTTGACCGCTACGGTCACGTAAAGGCATGAGCCAACTTTGAAATCAAACAGTAAGACAAAAGTCGGAGTTCTTTGGCCTAGGCCACCTACGCTCGCTGCGAGCAGCTTTGTATCCGGGCAGGGGATACGTTCGACAAACCCCCGTTCGACGGGTCCACAGGGGGCACTCTTCGGGCTCACCCTGGACTGGCATGAAGCCAGACACACTTATGATTATGCGTGCTGAACTGAAAGCGCGCCACACGCCAGCCTAAGTGAAAAGCCTAAGAAACCAAGATGAGTAAAGGGAAAGCTCCGCCAATCTCCAAAGCTGAAAGTTCCGAAGTCAAGGTCTCCAAAGCTCAACGACGGTGAGGTCAGCGCTAGACAATTACTGCAAAACACAGAATTGGAACAGCTTGTCCATTACGTAGGTTTCCTTCCAAGCAGGTACGTCAATCCGGCGTCCCGGATTGATTTCACAGATGCAACACTGGCGTCTTCGTTGGTGCCAGTCCAGTGTGCATCCCTGGCACCCCCGCTAAATAAGGAAAAAACTAGACGACGGGTGGCCCGAGAGCGAGAAAAAGAAAAGATGTGCACGTTAAGTTTGTAGATGTAGAACATGAATGTTAGTTTCTGATGATTTAGGATGTAGAAGTGGTGAAGAAGATACAAGAAGAGGTGAGAAGAAAGGAGAAGAGAAAGTAGATATGAAGTGAGATCTGTGAGAAGATGTGATGACAGGAACAAGTGGCGTAGAGGAGGTGAGCAGATGTAGCAGAGGTTTTGAATTTTGGATCTAAAGGTGTTGAACAAGACGCAACAAGATGTGAGAGGATATGAGAAGAGAGAAGATCTAATGAGTGAGAAAACGCAGATCCGCAAACGTACTTCCCACCAAGGCCGCGCAAATCCGCATGGCGCCGCGACACCCGCTCACCAGCGACACGCCGCGTTTACCCCAGCATGTTTCGGGCTTGCGCCGGACCGGGCCAAAACGCGCTCTCACCTGCATTTCGCGCCCTCAACACGCACGATCTCTGCAGAGGATTGCGCCGGACAGGGCCAAAACGCGCTCTCGCCTGCATTTCGCGCCCTCGACGCGCACGATCTCCGCAGAGCGTTGCGTTTCGTGGTGCTCCGGCGCTACTGCCTTCGGCCTTGAGAGAAAGTAAAGAAGAGCGAGAGGTGAAGATGTGAGATGTATAGATGTGAGGATGTGAAGATGAGCAGAGATGTAGATGTGCAGATGTGAAGATGAGCAGAGATATAGGTGAGAATGTAGATGTGCAGAGGTGAAGATGTGAAGATGTAGATGAGACGTAGTTCAGATGTCTTTTTACGAAGAACCCTTCGCAGGCGCTCTCGGGAAAAAGAAAAAACAATCCAAACGGATCCCTGTGACTACAAGGGGCACACACACACACACACGCCTCCCCGAGTGGAGGCGTTCTCTTTCAATTAAGCTCCGGACGAGGGTGAGGTTGGGTGAAAAAAGATCCTACGAGGAGCGGTGAATCTCATGTACGTGAAGAATCTCCCGATGAAGAACAGCTTGAGCAACCAGAGGAATGCTCTCTGTCGGTGCCAATCCAGCAGGAGAAGGTGACATGGCTGGTGGAGCAGGGATTGGTGGAGGAGGAATCATCACTCTAAGGTCGCGACAGGTTCCAACGAACCTTCAAAAAACTTTGACCGCTGTGGTCACCTTGTGCCCTGCCAAAGTGGCTGGCTGCTTAGACCGCTACGGTCACGTATTGGCGTGAGCCAGCTTGGAATTCAATAGTTCAGCAAGTCTTGGCAAATAACTTTGGCCTAAGCCCACTTTGCTCGCGGCGAGCTGCTTTGTATCCGGGCAGGGGGTACAGTCGACAAACCCCCGTTCAACGGGTCCACAGGGGCCACTCCTCGGGGCACCCCGGGCTCTCACAAGGAGAGACACAGTGACACACTTATAGAAATGCGTGCAGACTTGAAAGCGGTTGCCACACGCCGGCCTAAGTGAAAAACCTAATTAACCAGGGTGAGTAAAATTAAGCGGTTCAAACCTCCTCCACAACTCCAAGTTCTCTAAACATCCAAAGCTCCAAGGTTTCAAATTGCAACCGCGAAATGATCGAACGACAAGAACGACGGAACGTGCAGAGTCTGCGGATGAAGAACCGATGCAAAGGCTGGATGTCTTGTTCTAGGTGCAACGGGGCCCAAAAGGAAATGAGTGGTGATCATCTTCCCGCAGGTACGCGCAATCTGTGTCCAGATTGCATATCACAGCAAACTTGAAGTGTCTTCGTTGAGCGGTGGCTTCAAGAAGGCCCCCCGCGCCCCTGTTGAAAAATCATCATGAAGCAAAACAATCCTACAGGATCCCCGTGATTCCAAGGGGCACACACACACCCCAGTAGGGGCTGCAGGGGCTAGCTGCTAGCTTTTCGAAAGCTCAGGTTGTATTCAATTTTGGCCCGGAGGATGTCAAAGACTCCATGTGGAGGAAGGACATTCCTGGCAAGGGCAAGATCGCCGTGAAGCACGTGCAGTCGGTGACGGTCACTGTGCTGAAACCATGATCGCCCTCTGAACGTGAGCCTGAGGGATTTGACGTGGCAACCCCCAACACCTGGTCCAAGCAAGTGCTCTGAGGTTGAAAGGCATGGCTCCTGAATCACAGAACCCTTTCCTCCATGAAGGGCATGACTTGTGATAAGAAACATGCAATCTTGCTTGCTTTGCTTTGCCTTGCTTTGCCTTGCTTGGCCTTGCTTGGCCGTGCTTGGCCTTGCTTGGCCTTGCTTGCTTGCTTGCTTGCTTGGCCATGGGTTTATCACATCCCCTTGCGACATCCTTGTTGGGGTATGTGCAGTAAGATGCTAAGATTTTGTTGTATCACCCTGTCTTACCATTCCTGCTGCACTTAGGGGGCCCGAATACTTTACGTACTTGTATGCTGTTGCAAATGTCCACCATTCCGCCAGCTCATCCTCGCGTTCCACCCGGCTGACACGGTCAAACACACCAGCTGATCACCCAGCTGGACCTCGAACGGCGCGGTGCGCACGGTACACGCTGAGGAGTTGAAGGATTGGTTGGCCATGACGGACCGTGAGGCGCCGGAGGAGACCCGCTTCGGGGAGAAGAGTTATCGAGGCAACGAGAGGCCTGGAGCCTGGAGCTGGAATTTGGATGGACCAGATGGAGGGTTCGATGGGTTTGGGTGAGGGATTTGATCACGAATGAGGAATGTAGAGGGGAATATTTGCACCCAATCATATCCAATCTATTCCAATCTTCCGGATTGGAGGCCCGTGAGAGATGCCATCTCTGAGATCCAGACACCCATCCCAGCGGGACAACATCCCAGACACCATTGACACTACTCCTGTGTTTGCGTGGTTTGTGCATGGTTTGGCGCACAAATCCAGCCCTGCCTTCAGGCTCTGTGAGGACACGAAGTGGGACAAGAACTTCTGGGAGGCCTGGTTGTTGAACAGGTCAAGCCATTGTCGGATAACATCCATGTGTCCCAAAGCCCTCAGTCGGCAATTCCAAGCCTGCCTCTTTTTGACTCTCTTGGTGTTTCGATCAGTTCATTTCAATTTGCACTCGTTGGGCCGGCCTGTTTTCGCACGGCCGCTTTTTCATGTTCTTCTTGTTCCCTTTGGCCATACCTCAGAGTTTGACCAAAGCCACTCGGAAGAAGGCCAAACTCATCTGATCAGCTCCAGGCTGACTGGGTATGGTCTACCGTGAAAGTTCTCACCGATGGTGCTGCTACCAGCTGCGAGGAGGCATGGGCGGATCTCATGTTGGCCACCCTACATTCCTGGAAATGGGGAAGTGGAGAAGGTGCTCAGTGCTCAGGCTGAAATGTTCATTGATGTTCATTGGCCTGGAGGCCCTCGTGAGGCCCTCCAAAAAGTGAAGCTTTTGCAAGGGGGACACCAGCCTGGGAAGCCAACTTGCAGTACGTAGATAGGAGCGGCTAAGTGATGACTGGTATATATGGATGCCGCATGTTTCATTAAGGTCAACGCTTGTATATCTTGTATAGTATAGTGTGGCACCTAGTTTGCAGTTTGCAAGACTTGCCAGCTCTTCCAGCTCACAGAGCGTCGACGAAGGACCGTAGAGCCCATGAGTCAACAATAGTGTTGGGGCAATGCATCATCAGTTGAAAACCACCCCCCAAGACCATTCCCCTCACCCCCATTTGCATTGAAAACACTTCCCTTTGTTTCCAGGCGAAGCCCTTCTGCGACGACAAGGAGTTGCCCTTGGTCCGCCTGCTTTGCCCAGAGATCCTCAGCTATGGAGAGCGCGTCGGTGGAGTGTGAGGAACACGCCCACGCTGGTGTTAGTGCTCCTGCTACATGCAGCGACGAGAATATGGCTAGATGTCCCTTTGCCCCAGATCCGCCACTCCACAATACAGCTGAGCTGCCAGCTAATGGAAGCTTCTAAGCTCAGCAGTAGCAGTCAATAGCACCATGCAGGGTGATTGTTGCAACGATACGTGATCAATGATGATCTATGATCGGTTTTGGAATGAGCTCCCTGCAAAAACCCAACGTGAGATGCACGCCAGATCTCCTCACTGTCGCTAGATTCGCGCTTTGCTCAGCCTTTGTAAGGACCTGCGGCTGTACCAGGGCGGATTCTGGACTCTATGCAGACAATGGCTGTCGGCAGCAATGCCGGGAAGAGAGCGAGTTTCCCGGTGGACACGGAGAGAAGTTGCTACTTCAAGACAGGTAATGCCTAATGCACAAGCTCCTGAATTAGCAAGTATGTAATGACATCCATCGGTTCAGAGGCAAACAAGTCCCACAAGCACCATCACTTTTGAGCAAACCTGCATTTTGTTGGTGTTGTTGATATTGCTCGCCCATTTGGGGTGAATCCTGGAGTCCTTGTGGTGCAGTTTCGCTGTAAGGTTTGCGCAAAGCCGCAACAAAACCACCTGCAATGACACAGCAGAGGCTCGGGAGCATGCAGCGGAGTCTGGACACTCCGTCCAAAATCATGATTTTCTTTTTTCTCTGGATCTTTCTGGTGCAGATTGTCAAGAAGGATAGCTCCTTTCCGTTTTGTCTGGCCGCGGATTTATAGACACCACCTTCCATCATTCATATACATAATTATATGTGTATATATATATATATTTTATGTTATGTATATATATACACAATATTACGATACATTACGTCCACTTGGGGACGGACATTTCGATCACCAGCACCAACATTGTCCTGCAGGTGTCATCCACTATGGCCTGGAAGCGATGGTGGCAAGGATTCCATTCGGCCAACGCTGGCGTTTGGAGCGAGGACTGGGACCGGGGATTGGAGCACTGCGATGGCTGGTAGGTCCTACTCAGAACTATTTTTGTTTTTGAGACACGCCCAAGAAAGACAGGTTGCGAGATTTTTTTGATGCGTGGCTTCAGATGCACATGTGAAGATCATGATGATCCCCTGTAAGTCGAGGACAACCCCATGATGTCGGTGGGCAACGATCCGGCACCTTTTCTGCAAGCCAAACGAGATCGGACATGGGGACGAGGAGGCATTCTGAGATGCTTTTAATGCTGCGTGTTTTCCGGTGGCATCCGTAGATTAGATCCCAATCAGGTGGACCACTGTTTTCGGCCAAGCGTGACGCACACCGCCAGGCATCGGCGAACTGTTCCTTCGTCACGAGCAAGGATTGGATCCGCCAAAACTTCTGCCCCATGGCCAGTCAGCTCCGCATCGCTCGGCCACACACACCATCATGGTGGGATGGTAGCGGGCGCTGAATATTTGTGATTATTCATTATGCACATACTATATCCCCACCCCCTATCTCTACAAAACCGGAGGGGGGACCTGTCTAAATGTAAGCTACATTTTTCAATGTTTTTCGGGGGGGAGGGGGGGGGTCTAAGAAATGTAGCTTACATTTAGACAGGTCCCCCCCATTTCTTGGTTTTGAGAACCCTTTGCAGGAAACGTCTGAAACACGCTTGGGGGGGGGGGGCGGGGCGCCGGCGGGCACGCGCGGGCGGGGGGGGGGGGGGGGGGGGTTCGTACGGGCGTCGTCCACCCACCCGACGAGAGGGGGGGGGGTCGTGGATCTCTTCGGGAGTGGCTCGAAGAGACGTGTTGCCAAACACAGGAAAAGCATGAAGAAAAGGAAGAAAGGTCTAGAGGAAAAAGGGGAAAACACAGAAGAGAAGAAAGAAAGGTCTAGAGGAAAAAGGGGAAAGCGCGGAAAG